CTTAACAAAGTTTGATGGCAAGGCTCGCTCCATTATTTACCGCACAAAGGATGCAACAATGATTCCAAGTTACCAAGACCCAAATCAAAGTTACCATAAATAAAGTTAAGCATGATATGGGTCACTTACCACAGATCTGCTGTTGGTAAAAGGTTTCTCAGCCTCGAGGAGCAACCTCGCGAGGCATCGCAGCTGAAGGGGAGATCACACCACGCAGCCCTGCTGCCTAGCAGGGAGAGCTCAAAGGCGGCTCACTTGGGTGGTTGTATTTACGGAATAAAGCGGTTGGCTTATAGTCAACTTCCATGTGATGGGAAATGTAGGCATGAGACTCCTTGTACCCACAACTTTGTTCCTTGGTAAGTCAGTCTTGGAAAAGCACCTGCTATTCCCATGTTAATTGCATGACAGGTGTTCCAAGCTCCTATGCATCAATACTCACTGTGCCACTGCTCCTTTCTGGGTTTTCACAAAACAGATTGCAACTAGAGGAGCTCTTGGCCTGGCCCCAGCTCAGGCCTTTACCTCCTTTGGAGCCTGAACCAAACTACTGTGAGTTTGGTTAAGGGGTCAAGTGCATCCATCACAGTAGTCAGAGATAAGGAATTTGTTTAATTATCCCTTCCTCAGCTTGGTTTCCCTGGTCTTATGACTTGATAAAATGACCAGCTTTTCCCACAGAAGGTAGATGATTAGGTAAATAGGCTTGTTACAAGAAACGACTGTCCCAGGATGCTGTCTTGCGTGCCCAGTTCAGCTTCAGTTCAAATCCACTGTATAGTTAAAATTTAGAATAAAAGAATTGAAGCCAAGGCAGGTTTGACCTATGATGCCTTGCTAAGTTCCTACGTGGACGCTCCACGTGAAGCAATTCCCTCTTTTTTTAGCGGGTTGTTAATCAGCAGTAGAAATGACGGAGCTTCCTTAAACCAGGTTGCATTGAGAGAGCGCTTTCCTCTTACGCTGTTTCTGCTGTACCTTCTCTGGGGCCAGCTCACATTGTAAGAATCAAAGGAGGTTTTCTCCCCTGTAAAAATGCTATGTAGAATGAATGTTTATCTCCTTGTAGTAAGCTGACTACAGGTAAGTGCCTGACATTGTCTCAAGCAGTGCTTTCCTTAGGGCTACTTCCTAATTAGCTATTCCTGCAGAGTAGAATTGTCCCTGGCTAGATGACTTAGTCGTTTACATACAGAGTGACTTCACTTCCTCTGGCTGTTAGCTTAAGGCAGGCTGTAGCAGGGCCTATTAGCAGAGCCCACTGGACAGAAATTCTCACAAAAGCTTCTCCGCACACAGCGTGGCCTCCTTGGTTGGCTGATAAATACCACTGTGGACGGTGGAAACAGTGTGTGGCAAGCTGGGCTCTGGGGCCTTTCTTCCTGCCGTTCCTACTGAACGCTGAGAGCAAAATAATTCATGAGTCAGAAAGGTGCCTGTGGAAAACTAGTCACTCAGCCTCTGTCTGATGCAAAGGAACAGAAAAACTTGAAGCAATTTTTGTCTCTTTCCAATCAATGTGCAGAATCTGTGCCTGGTATGGAACAGGAAATATTTATGTAGATAGAGAAGGCGATTCCTACTGAGCAGTACCAAATGTCACTTGTATAAAGTACAGTAGGAAAAAGCCGCGCAGATAGTGGTCAGATGGTTCAAGTGAAGAGAATGCTGCAGAAGCCAGTGTGATTTTTACTATTACTCCATCTCGTTTCAAGGTGCCTTCAACTACACCAAATGTCCTAGTAATTTAAGTATTGTTTCCAAGATCAGCTTGTTAATAGATGTTGAATTTGTTTTGATGCCTTTATAAATTATTGTCATATTACTGAAAAACATGCATTATAGTTGGGTTTTTTTAACCTTTCTTTCCTGTGTATCAGCTAACTCCCCCAGAATAGGTCACCTCAACAACAGCCGCTTCTCCAGGAAATAGTGTAACAGTCTTCTGCTTCTCCCAGGAAAGAAGCTGGACTGTCCTCAAATATACTATGGCTGTGACTGGGAAAAAATGCAAACCAAAGTAAATCTCACTTACTCTTCCTGTCAGGTGTGCCCCTGCTCCTGGGTGCAGCCCACTAGTGCCTGTGGGGCTCTGAATTGATGGGACTGAAATGCTAACCCAGGGCATCAATAAAGCTTTCTTTAACAAGGCTTAACTCCCTGATTGGGCCTGCTGCACAGCTCAGCAACTAAGAGGCAACGCTGGCGCTGCTGCTGTTGCTCCCAGAGGAATTGCATGTCCAGGCTGGGGGCTGGGTTAGCTTCTGTTGGGATTTCTACTGCTGCAGTGCAGGCAGCACAAAACATCCCTGCCTGGAAGGGCAGAAAGACAGGGTTGCCATTAACTATATGCTGCACAAGTGTTATCAAGTTAGCCTCTCTCCTCAATGCTGTGCCTTTTTCCTAATGTCAGCAGCTGAAGGACCTGCCAGAGGTTCCCCAGGCTGCTTTCTACCTTCTCTCCACCTTCAGCTGCCTGGCAGTTGCCTAATGACTTGTGCAAGTGCTCAGCTCTGGCTGGGAAGTTCACCCTTAGCACCTGGGCCATTCTCCACTCAGTGACATACAATGCCCCTTCGCAGCTCCAGCTTTGGTCCAGCACCAACACTGATGCCACCAGAGTAACTGATCTCTTCTCAAAGAATTCTTAGTCACCGTTCAGTATTCCCCGGGGAACATGACCATGAAACCTGCAGTAGTTACCTGATGCAAGTAAAGATATTTCTAAAGACCCACCTTTAGGCTTCTCCAGTCCACAAAAGGCAAACATTTCACCTCTATTTATTTCATTAAATTAAAACCTTTCAAATCTAGTTCCCTTAAATTCACAGCTGCTTCTGGCAGCACAACCTACTACTAGCTGTGAACGACTTGGGTCTATCTGTAAAAACATTCAAAGAACACAAGAGGAAGTTGCAGCACTGACTTGTCAGTAACAGATTCCCCATTCCCTCTCCCACACCCAGGTGCAAAGGGCTGCAGACTGGATGTGACCACCATTAATTATGCCTATTTACAGGTTGAGTAGCTTCTGTCACCTCCACAGCCAGAGCAAGAGACTGGGGCAGGGGATGTAGAATAGCTCTATCCACCTGTGGAGGAGGCACCATGTACACCTTAGCATGCAAAAATAGAACCAGTAGTACTGACTGAGAGCCAAACCCTAGACTTACCTGAGCATAAAACTCTATTTTAGCATTTTCCCCTAATTCAAGACAGGCAAAAACCAGTTCAGACTGGTTTGGAGGACACTGCCTGGCCTTTCCTTTAGTGCTAGCTGCCCTAGCCCTTTCAGAGTTCATGTTCTGGAAAAAAAAGAGACCAGACTTCATAATTACAGAATACAGGCTCTCCATGGAGGCACAGGCTCTTCATGGAGGCACAGCCCCAGATGCTCAGCCCCTCTCCCACTTGACACTCCCTAGTTGTGCAAGTGAGCCTGTGCCCTGGCAGGGGAGGGTGGGCACATTTGTCACCGCACTGCAGACACGTGTGCTTCCAGGGGGCACCACCCAAGTGCTCTTGATTCCTTCTCACCAGTTTCATTTCAATTTCTCCTCTGCATGTGCCATGCCATAATCGGATAAAAGCAAGTTCATCCCAAGTTCCTGAAACCCGTTGGGCAGCTGAAACCCACCACCTCGATCCCAGAGGAAGTGTGCCAGGAGGTTTCCCCTCCTTTCACCCGCTCGGTGCCAGGAGCTGGGACTCCTGCAGCTCAGCTCACCCTTCAGCCAGACACGGCTGCCCTCGCCCGATGCCTGAACAGGGAGTGATGAGAGATGCCGTATTCCTAAATCAGGTGTTCTACCAGAACTCTGACATGGCGGCAGAGGGAGGGATATTTTGAAACCTGATTCCAGGCCCTGCCCTTTAACTCTGCTTCAGTACACACACGTTTCCCATGATCTCAAAGCGTGTTTAAAAAGCTACATTAAAAGCAAAAATCCCAAACAAAACCCCACTCTTTTTTCTTCTCCCCCCAGGTTCTGCAGTTAATGACTCATCAAATGCACTGTCCCAGCACAGAAACTGTTATCCTAGTGCTATACTGGCTCAGGTCTCCGAGGTTGTAAGCTTCACGTCACACTCAGACTTGCAAGATTACAATACAAAAAAATATGTAACATTTCAGAACCATATTATTTTAGGGCAAAGACTTAAGACAGTTTTAAATAACAAGTCAAAGGTAGTGAAAGATACCTAAAAAAAAAAATAATTTAGTTAAAATTAATTAAAGAAAATCATGGTCTTACTATGGGTCTTCCGTTGATTTCCCTCTTACAAGTGTAATATATGATAGAACTCTTTTTGCAATGGATTAACAAAAAGCTGGCTCTGAAGTCTTTGCACACCCTGTGCAGACACACACAGCAGCTTCTCAAAGCCATCAGACCAAGGCAGGATCTTGTGACCCACCAGTAAGAGCAGTTGTTCCTCACATGCTGCCCAGCTGGCCACAGAGAAATCAGAAGACGTTGTTGTAGCTATAAAGAAATTTATTTGGGGATGAGACTTTTCACTACTAGAAGCCAGACTCTAAGCTGGCTCTTGGGATCTAAACCACACTTTTCTTTGGACAATAAATTTCAAGTCGCACTTACTGTCCTATTTTTCAAAAAAGGAATGATGATGACAAAAAAATAACCAAAACCTATCACCTAAATGCGTTAGTTTCAGCTGAAGCCATCTTCCATCAGAAACCATAGGATCTGATACAACAAAGTTCTCCCTAGGGACGTTTATGAGTCGAGTAGCTCAGTGCTTTGTATGCTAGTACGGCTGTATTTTGTCTTGTATCAAAAAAAAAAAAAAAAAGTTTAACTGCATGTGCAGCCTCAGCTGCAAACCACTGCAACATGCTTCACTGCTCACCCAGAGTCAGCCTCTCTTCCCTTGGAAAAAATAAAATAAAATCAACCCCCCAAAACAAAACATCACCAATGCCACGCTGGTTCAAAAGGACTAAGTTCCTCCTGAGGGCTGACGGTTGGCCTGGGTTACTCCTTGGCATCCTGCTCCTCTCCCTCCTGGGCACCATCTTCACTGGCCTCCTTCTCCTCTTTGCTACGCTTGTTCTTTTTGTGCTTGTGACGCCGATGACTCTCCCCCTCCTCGCTCTCGTGTTGCTTGCTGCAGCGGGGAAGAAAGGGAAGAAGAAAGTTACATCGGAACCTGCATCAGCGCAGCTCTGCCACAGCTGAGACCCAAACGCACTGACTCTACAGCATGCGTGGGGACGGAGCGCTTTGATCTAGAACAAACAGGAGACAGATCAGAAGTGCTGAGGGCATCACGGTGCTGTTGAAAGGCTTCAGCTTGTTTATTCGGGACGATCTGATATCGTGTGTGGCTGCCCCAAGGGCAGGTAATGCAAACCGCTGGAGGTGGCTGCTTTACCCCACTTGCTGCATCAGCACAGTCGAGGCAGGCGGCGTACTAGACAGACTGCTGTCAGAATCATTTGGGGGTAGTTTTTACAAGCAACATCTCTGTGTCCCTCCTGCTCCTAAGAGAGCTCTAAATTCTGACACATCTCAAGCTTCAACGGGAAGCACTGAAGCTGCTGAGAGAAGGAAGAGTCCTAAATCTGAGAGGCGTTTGAAACTTTTACTCTTCTGAACATCGTGGGGAAATCCCTGGACTAGAGGCAAGAAAGGGATCGATGCAGCTAGAGAAACGTGGATTTCCTACTGGGAGGCAGATCCTGTTTCTACCTCTGCTTACTCATAAATGACCTGGCACCTCGCTAGCTTTGTGCTGTAAGACTCCTCCATCTCCTCACCCAGAATTGTCTTCGGGATGCAGCTGGAGAGCTGTGGAAGTCTGTGCAGGATTCTGTGAGGTGGGAGAAGTCCCACCCAGCCTCAGCCCTGCACCCCCGACCCTGCCGCCACCCCTGCCGCCTGAGATCAGCATCTGTCTCAGGGAAAGTGGAAAGGTGGGAGCTCCGGTTCTGCCCACTCCGGTTCTTGGCCTCTCCTGGGAGGACGTTTTTCTGCTGCTTCTCAAACGTGCAATTGTTTCTCCTCACAAGCTGAAAACCAAGTAAAGTCTCTAGAGCTGACTGTGGTGTGAAGGTGGCAGAATTAAAACAGAGTACAGGAAAAAATAGATTAAATTTATCACAGGAAGACGTGTGGTTACACAGAACAGACACACAGCTCTGCGAGTGGGGACAGCCAGGCGTAGAGACAAATTCTTACCGCAGCAGGGATACCAGTTCAGCACCAGAGACACCTAACTGGCTGAACCACTGAAGCTTTGGCTGAAAAGCTCCTGGGTTCAAGTAATTCTCTGACTTGGTTAATAAATGGTTTCATAGTCATTAAAGGGGAAAAAAAAGCCAAAAAAACCATTGCTGCCTCTTCTCAATACATCTTCAAGCCACCTCATGGACAGCAATGTGGCAGTGGTTTATGCTTCAACAAAGTGACTGTCCTTTAATATTTAAACGAGCGTCAGTGATTTCCTTCAAGCTGGTCAGTTTGCAGTAAACTGGAAACTACAAGGAAACCCTTTCATCTTCTACAAATGCCTTAAACAGGCAGAAATCTGAAAGAGCCTCGAGCAGGGACTCTGACAGGCACTCAAAGTGGCCTTGAACAGAAAGTATTCCTCCATTTGCTTTAGCTAACAAACCCTTCCCATCCTACTCCTCCAAGCAAGACAGAGTATCCGTGTGTGGTTTAAGGAGCAGAAGAGAAGTCACCTCGTTCCCACCTCGTGCAGAAGCCCAGAGCTGTAAATCGAGCTCTCAAGCAGATTCTGACACTGCTTTGGTGAATTCCATCCCATTCCTGCAGTCAGGTATCTTAACACTAGATTTCAGTTCTGAGTAGAGGAAGCTGAGAAATGACCCCTAAAGCTATTGGCTTGTTAGTCTGCTATCAGTTCAGCTTCCATTTGTTTTGTATTCTACTTTGATTATGGTCCTGGCCTTTCTTCCCATCACTTTGTTTCCAACCCTTCAGCAATCCGTCCTTTCTTGGAAAATTATTCATCTCCTTAAAGATGAGAACCGCCTTTTGCTCCCAGTCACTATGTAGGAATTTTTCTGATAGGAGTTTCAAAATAAGAGTAATTGCCTACAGAGCTAACGTGAATTTCATGTAAAAGAAGTAAGTGGAAGCACCAAAACCCGGAGCAATTCTGCTCAAGCCATTGCCAGGATGTAAAGTGACACAGCAACTGAGCATTGCCTCAGCCCGGAGGCCAGACCTGTTACTTTGCTGGAAGAATGCTCTCACAGGAAGATCATCTGTAGCAGATACATTTTCTCCAGAAAAGCTGGGAATTGAGGACATCCTGCTCTGCTCCTCCTTTGTCCAGATCATCAGCCTCACTATCAGCACTGGGCACAGAGCTCTGATCACGCAGTGCTCAGCCTCCTGCTCCGAGAAGAAATTTCAGATTACAGGCTGAAGAGAGCTCTTCTGTCTGCATAGGAACATGTAATACTGAAAGCTGATGCTTCTGCTGGGGTTTTCCATTTTACTTTGTGTGTACTTTATTAGCAGTGGGAGCTACGCTGTTCTGCTGTGATGTTTAGCACAGGTTAACCTCTCCTTTGTCAATCAGTGCTGCAATTTTACTGGCAGTGATTCGACAACCTGCCAGCTGCCTTACCAAGAACTTAGAAACACCAAGGACTCCTCTTCCTATTACAGACAGTTCTGCCTCCTGCCCAGGTACGTGTCCAAGAGCGCTTTCTCTGCCTGAGCATCATGTCTCAGGACACCGGCAGGTCACGGGAAGCCTGTATGACCCAGGGTGACAGCTCCCTCTGAGAACATCAACCTTCTTGTCTGCAGCTGAGGTCTGTTCCCACCAACAGCCCAGTTCAACCCCAGGCAGCTCTCACCGTCTTGAAGACTTATGCTTGCTGCTCTCCTCTTTGTCTCTGTGCCTGCGCTCTCGGTGACGATCCTCTCGCTCCCTGCTGCGATCTCGACTCCGGCGGTAGTCACGCTCGAAGTCGTAGCTGCGCTCTCGGCTGTAGTAGCGGTATCGTTCATCATCACTTAAGAAGAGAAAGGAGAAGTGAGGCAGGGGAACACACCACTCGTGGACCTGAAAGTCAGGAGCCGTATTTACAGGACCGTAGAACCCCATTCTCGCCAACAACGTCTGTCACCTCTTACTCTACCAACAGGCAGAGGTATTCACGATGCTCCTGAAAAATCTGTAACAATAAGCTGCTGCTGCTGATGATGACTGAACCCAAGCTCCAGCCCAATCCCAGTTTCTAACCACAGCAAAATTACTTTCTCCATTGCCTATTACACAGCCCGTAAGCCCAAACAGTTGAGTATCTTGGCTTTCTCCTGGCCTCTCAAGGCACAGGATTTACAAAATTTCTCCTCTGGCTTTGCCAAGGGAGTACCTTAGCAGCAGGCACGTGGCCAATGTCCTCATGGGAATATGTCCAAGACATCAAGCTACTTTGTTCAAAACCAACAGAAACATGCTGCTTTCATCATTCTGCCTCCCCTGGTGCTGGATGGTACCTCACAACACTATTGTCCCAAATCACCTGCAATTTTTTTGTGCGAGTTAGACTAAGGGACAACTTTATTCCCCATGAGTTCAAAAACTCCAATTGTAAGTACAGCTGACAAGGTCTTTCTGCCTGCACCTATCTATCTGCTCGGGGCACCTCACTCAATCCACACACAGGAGCGGGCGTGATGTACCCCAAATTCAGGTGCATCCCACACTCCCCTCTACCTCTCGCAGTTGCTATTCAACTTCTGAAAGCCAAATCTAAAGGGTTAACTAGTCCCTCTGTGGGAAACAATATTGAAACTCAAAGGAGGTCTGAAACATCGTCCCAACACTCACGGAAACAAACAAGACAAATAAATGTCCTGTATCAATCATCTGCGAGTGCTCCAAAGGACTCCGCTGAGCAGTGACCTGCCCTGTTTTGGCAAGCACCATCTTAGGGGTCAGAACACCTGAAAGCACCCAGAAAGGCTAACAGTGTGCTCCGGGGGGCTGACAGCAGGACTTGGCTGCAGCATGAACCTGCCCAGGAAGTGTGGGAGTCTAAGCTCTTCAAACTGCAGCAAGTGTGTCTTCTGTTCTGCACCTCCCTTTTCTACCCACAGCTCCCACAAGCTTGCAAGGAAAAAAAAGACTGGGGGCACGGGCAGGAAAAAGAAAAAAGGTGAGGAAAACATTGCCCTATTTGCTCACCCCCTGGGCCAGGAAGTTCCCCAGCAGGCAGCACCCTCTGCCTGGAATGCGCATTCTGATCATGTTTTGAATGACTATTGCTACTTCTGAGCCTGAAGCCTGCAAAACACTGACACTGCCTGTGATAGAACAAAAAAAGTCATGGGTTTAGAACGAATCTTTGCAGCCTAGCCTTCACTTTAGCTCTCTAGATCAATGCTAGGGGCTGAGCGCCTCCTTTCCCAGGTGCTCCCAGCACTGCTGTCACTAGATCACATCAGGTCCCACCAGGGCGGTTGTCTCCAGCACTGCGGGCAGGAACGCCTGGATAAGGATTTACATTTCATGGCTGACTCCTGGAGCTCCTGGCCCTGAAAGCCTCTACGGGAGAGCTGAGCAAAGCACAGGGAGAGCTGAGCAAAGCACGGGTGGCTTCTCCTTTGATCTGACAGTTGCATTTAGAAGACAAGAAGCAGCAGCTTCTCCCTGCAAAGTTTCCCACTGAGCTGTGAAATACCTAGCAAACAGAGAGGGGCTATTTCATTCACTGGCCTCATATTACAGGTGGGAGAGCAAGCGTAACTGGTTCTGCTGGATTTAAACACAAAAACAGACACAGGAAATCAGCCAGTGACACTGGCTCCTAGTTTGTCCTCCAGTTATTGATCCAAAGCACCTCTCCCCAGACATTTCAGAAAATCCAACTGGTGTCATCCCATCCCATGCCCAAACACCTCCTTGTGCTCCAGGGCAAGGCCAGAGCTCCCTTCCATGAGCAGAAGCTGCTGAAAACTAGCACTCACTTGTTGTATTCGCTAGTGGTCGGAGTGCGGTCTCTGTCTCTCTCCCTTTCCCTTTCCCGCTCACGCTCCCTCTCTCTGTCGCGCCTGGAGCCCGAGTACTCCCAATGGCTGCTGCTGGAACTGCTCGTGCCTTTGTCCACCGTCGTCACCCAGGGTGTGTGGGACGTGGAGATGGGTGGATAGCTGATGAAACCTGAATCTGCAGAGAGAGAGCAGAACCCTTCTTCATCCGAAGCATTCAGAGCATCCTCTGTCCCTCCCTTCCCAAAGACACCCTCTGGAGGCACAGCTGAATTCAAGGGGTCAACAACGGCCCAGCTCCCTCCTGTCCTCACCCTTTTTGCTTCCAGCAGCTTGCTAAGAACACGTGAAGAAGACACAAGCAAGACCAGATATTTACAAATGTCACTGCAAAATGTCCCTGGCCCCTTACACAGTGGGCTATGCACTCCCCCAGCTCTCACTCTCTATAGGTCCTGCTATGCAGAGCACGCTATAAGGTCTCCGCTGAGAAAAGTTTCAATCCATCCCCCCAAGACATCCTGGCTTAGAGGGCAAAGGTGCCAGCTGAGTTTAGTTAGCCTTAGGCTAACACTTACAAGGTCTCACTTCTAGCCTAAGGTGGCACTGGCTGTTAATGAAGGATGCCACCTGACGAGCCCAGAGCCACCAGCACTTCCCCATCCAGACGCTGGCCTGCAGGGGCCTGCTCAGCCGGGCCAGCGAGGTCACATCCCAAAGCAGTACCGGCTGCTGAAAAGCTGATCATACAACAGACTCGAGGCGCCTTTTTCTCAGGAAGGCCTCGCACCGCGGTGCTGCCTGCGATCCTGCCCCTTCTGCACAGCGAGGAGGTGCTGCTCCGAGTGCTGGTCACTAAGGAAATGGGAGAGGACGTGGGCATTGCTGGCAGGGCTGCAACAGGGAAGGCAGTCTGCTGGAATTCTGACACTGCCTCTTCCATTACAAAACAAAAGGAGACAGATTTCTTCGTGCGCCTGTAGGCAAGGAAGAGGCTAAAGGAGGAAGGAGGGCATTCAAAAGCTCAGGGAGGAGATGTGAAGGTGAGTGTGAGCAAGCATGTGTGCAAAGAGCACCAGAATACGTTGCTGAGGCACAAGGGGAAGCTTCTCTGTTGCTAGGTGTCTGCACTGGAAACAGTGATCCGAGGGTTAGCACTCGACTACAAAACTGCATTTCCCCTCCTGCACAACATTCAGCTTTCCAAACGCTTTTTGATGTCGGCAAACTCAACGTCTCTTGTCTGGGACAGTCTGGGGCACAAGCAAGACCCTACAGTTAAAGCAAGCATCGTGTCCATCAGCTTAAGAAAAGCCCAAACTACCAAATACCCGAGAATAGAGCTATGAGCAGTTTGTTTGTTATCTTCAGTGCTCACCTGCAGAGTTGTAGCCAAACGGCGGCGGCTGCCTGTTGTTGTAGCTGGCTGGCTGGCTTTGGAGAGAGAAAAGGATGGAAGTTACTAACACCAGCGGCCATTCGCACCTCTGGCTGTGCTGCAAGTTCACCCGATTTTTTTCGGTTTCCGTGAATCTCCTTCACTTTGCATTGTGAACTTTCAGAAGCGCGTACAGGTGCTTGCCCTGCTTTACCCCTTCCTTTTGTACATCAGGCAGGCTTCCTGGGAAATGACTGGTGCTTACAAAGTACCTGGAGAATCCTTCTAGAAAACATTTGGAGAAACATAACATGCTACCCACTACCTTGTGCTAGACCCAAACACACCCCTAGATTTTATGGACTCCCTCCCATGTCCTGAACATGACAAATCCAGGTAAATGCACAGAGGATTCCCTATGGACTCTGCTCTCACTCCCCAGCTCAATCCAAGACCAGACTATGAATCACCAGCACTGACTTTAGCCCCATCCTCCACCCTTCCTCACCGCGGAGGAGCTGTACCGACGGCTCAGCCCAGGTGTGGTCTTACCCATCCAAGGTTGGAATGAGGAGAGCTGGTGGTGGTGCCAGAGGCGGCGGGAACAACCCTAGACACAGAAACATAAGTCAGCACAAAGATCTCACAGCTTGCCATGAGGGAATAAGATTTCATTGCTGTTAACAGTTAAAAGCTGTTCAAGTAGCTCTTTAAACAAGGCCCTGTTTGAAACGGAATAATTTTCTTTCAGGGTTCTATCTCCTCCCAAAATTAAAACCCTACAGCTGTGTTAGTTCTGTAGGGGTACAGGAAGAAAAGTAAAGGAAGAGCTACCTTCTGTTTTGGCCTATTCATCATAAACATAAGATTCATTAAGGAGTAAACATTAACCCTGACGGTCCTGCGGAAGACTGAAAAGTCTGGTTCTTGGGATGCGGACACGTTGCAACTATGGTAAAGATTTTATTACACCATTGATTAAAATTAATAACTTTGTCTCTTACAAAGCATGTAACATAGGAGTCACCTGTTTGTTTTTTAAAGAATGCCAATTTTCTGAGCACACATACTTTTAAAAATCAGGAGAAAACATAGCACCAACGGTGCAGAGAGTTGTCTGAAATGTCTGACACTTTAAAATGGGCCCAATGTCAAACATGCGAAGAATTATGATACAAAAATCACAAGGCAGCATCTTCAGAAAACAGAATTAAGCAGAAGTTTACAAAGGCCACTCTTCCAGAAGTGACAAAGTCACTTGGAAGTCAGTGTGCTCAACCTTGAGCAACCTGAAAATGAGGAGGACGTGCCAACTGCTCCTACGGGAGCTTCTTAATTCTCTGGGCAGTTACCTTTGCCAACAAGAACAGACTAACCAACCACCCGTGGGCTGACTTTGCATAAAAATTCCTCTGTTTATCATTACACCAAAAAAAAGGAGCTAACTACTGATACAAAGGATAGGCGTTATCTGACTAACTGCAGTCATTTACATTAACGCTGGCAGCTCCAGGTTCCTTTTCCAGTCGATGGCGATTGAGCCAGCACAGCCAACGTAACCCGGGTCAATTCCTCACCTCGTCCTGTCAGCACCTACGCTGGGTCAGGAGAAGCCCTTCCTACAAGTGTCCCACCGCAAAAAGAGGTAGTGACTGCAAAGAGAAGCAGTCTGAAGCCTCCAGCTCAGCCAGTGGAGATCTGTGCTGCAAACAACTCGGGGAACACGTCTCACTCTTATGTGCTTTTTTTCCCCCTCGTTCTCCTAAGATCTTCCAATAAAATGTGATGCCCCGAGCGTTTCAATCACACCTACTCACCAAGTGCAACCACTTCAAAGTACTACTGTTACAGGCACTGGGTCATCATCACGATCATAATTAGCAGGTGTTCTCCTTCATTTCCCTTCCAACCCAGTTACCTGAAGTGGAAATTCTTTGCAACAACAGCCTGGTCATTCGTCCACCTCGCTCCTCCCAAACAACTTTAATCTAAATGCACTTGACTAGCAACTGGGCGCTGCAACGTCTACAATCAAGACCAGTTTGCATCCAGTTTCACTACAATATAGTTCTAAATCCAAGCTTCCTATGAGCCGGTTGCTTCTAGTACAACAATGAAAACCAGTTCTGCAATATTATTGTTCATTGAAAGGAGTACGAAAAGTGACATTTTAACAAACTTGGGAATTGTCTCAGTCTGAGGGACACCCCTGCTAGTGCAGGTTTTCCATATTTCCATTTGGGAAGCCGAGGGCAGAGCATGAATACAAAAGCATGGACGCAAAAGCTGTGAATCAAGTCCAACGTGTCTGACACATAGTGAGGACAAGCACATCAAGCCCAAGGTGCTTTGGACGCAGACCTTTTGGAGGTACGTGAATCGAGTACACAGCGTGACGCAGAGGCAGTGGCCTGACTGCATGTACGCCCTCACCACCATCAGCCCTGGATCTTCAGACGTATGGCATCCGGTCAGAACTATCACTCCAAATAGCCTGCTACACAAACAGCTAAACGTGTTTTCCCTGGACTAGGCAAAATTTCCAGCAGAAAAAAAAAAAATACAGCTAGAGGAAACTCGGTTTTATAGTAGCTCCGAACTAGTGGGGTTCTTAAGTTATGCACAGGATTGGTTGTTACATTTCTTTATTAGTATTCACCATCTCCGCTGCACGCCAGGAAGCAAAGGCTTCTGATGGAAATGGTGTTTGTTCTACTCACTCTCACATTCCACATTCCTACACAAAGCACCAATTTGTCACTGAGGCTTTTGCTGTGCAAATGCCGTAACAAGAACTACACCATTTCCAATCTAAGTGGCTTTTGCTGTCTGTAGCTCTCCACTTTCTAGACTGGTCTTCAGAGACAAAATGAGATTGCATTAAGAAGCCCTACAGATTATTATTTAGGTCCAGAATACAAGATAAGCAGCTAGAGTTCAATGCTGCACTGGAGTTAGAGAGCCTTAAATTAACTGTGCTCTAAAATGGGTCTTGGTGTCACCCTAGCTCGTGTTGCTCAAGCCAGGGCAGCTGTGTGTGCAGAATCACTGCTGTTATTAAGAGCGAATTCACACCTACCTGGAATGGGACCGGGTGGTGGCAGACCTACGGAAATAAACAAACAAAACAAGGACAACAGGTAAAGCATGTCATTTCTGCACCTCAAGCTAAACCTAAAAGCACACTTTTGAATAAATTTCACATACTTGAGCAAACAGACCAGCAGAAAAATTGGCGTCATGAAGCAGTAACTAGCCTAGAAACAGTATCATTTTCCCAAATTATGATCCCTCTACCTTTATATTATAATTTTAAATGTTGCTGCTCTCGCACTGGAGAATTCCTTTTTCCAAGTGTCAATACACAAACAATTGATTTGGCCTTCAGAAGGAGCTGGAGAGGAGAACCTGCTGCAGATGTCAGCCTGTCCTTTCGCTTGTTTGTTGTGTTTTGTTTTTTTTTTAAAAAAAGTCAATCATAACTGCATAGTGAAATCAGACGCTCTGGTCAACATCCAAAAGAACAAGTGAACAATTTATCTTGATTTTGCCAATCATCTTAATGAAAGGCAGTAGGAAAAGCTACCACTGTCTGCCAGTGAGTACCGCGGTAATAATCCTCCGCAGATTAAAAGCCTCAACCATATCTTTTATTCTGTATCTTCTGCTTGTGGAGCCAGTGCAAAACAGAGGAGTTACTGCGCGATGTGCTCCCGATGACTTCTCCAAGTCTGGCTGCTGGCCACAGCCCAGGGAAAGCCCAGAGCGTGGCCTGCACTTCACCCTGATGCACTGGTTAAGGCAGAAGCACCGGGGCACCGACATGACTCAGGATCAGGAGACACACAGACTTCGTAGGAAGCGAAGGCAGAAAAACGTGTCTCAGACCGTGGCCAGCGTGTCTGTAAACTTGCACTGAAAAGATCAACAGAAAAACGACACCCTACCCTCTGGAAAATGCTGCACGAGTATGGATATTTGGCCTTTTCAGTTGGAAAGTTCTTCCTTCTCTCCACCAGTATTGCCCAATTTTGCCTGGTGCCCAGGAAGAGGCCTCCACGTTGCAGATGCATTAAGAAACTTTGTGGAAACTGAGTTATTACATGCAGAGAAGAGACAGCGAAACCCTTCTGTAACGTGGTGCTCAAGACAACAAAGTAGAAAATAAATTTAGGAATTTTATCTCCGCTATCTCAACAGGTTTCAGCACTCAGCCTGGACCAGCAGGTACAAAGGGCTTTCCTGCAGCCACAGGACTGCTCTCCACAGTGTCTTCTCAAGTGCCAAGTGCTCTTAGCACAACACAAACCCATCCGGTTATTGATAAGAGCACAGAAACTTGCCAATGCTGAGGACTGACCATACCCAACGGGCTAGAAACCCAACATAAAGACCTCCTTTCTGTTATTTATATTTTGCTTTTAAAATGAAGCACTGCTCTAATGTCTGCACTGGACACTAGGCTCTTCTAGGAGCAGTAAGAATCATCCTGCAGTGGCAGTTGGTACAATAAAATGCATAGAAGCAAACACAGAAAGATACAAATCTTGGTATTTCAAGGCATAAACCAACCAAGAACTGACGTGGATTAGGAAGAAAGTTGTTAGCTAGAGTTGCTGTTGCAGAATTGCCAATTCCAGCATCGCCCTTCAAACATTTGGAATCAGTCACAGCCAGACAGGATCCCGAGCCGTTACCTGATTGCTCAACTGTCCCATAGCATTTACCGATTAAACCTCTGATTTGCTCCAAGCCTGGGACGTCCTAACTTGCAGCCTCAGACTGCCACACGTTGCTGTGTGAACACATACCTGGAGGATGCAGGGGAGGTGGAACAGAAGTAACTGGTGGAGGAGGGTGGAGGAAATGTGGTGGAGGTGGCCCAGCGAGCGGGGGAGGCGGCGGGCCTGCTGGTGGTGCAAACGGCTGTTGCTGAGGTGGTTGTTGGGGCTGAGATGGCTGCTGGGGCTGCTGGGGGGGTTGTGGCTTACTTCCGTGGTCTCCAAGGACCTTAGAAGGCAGAGGAACGAGAAGAGAGCATTTTAATCTCTTTGCTCCCACAGCCAGGACCTCACTGTGCTGCCATCAGGGAGAGTATCACCAAAACAGGCAGCACCGCGATGCCTGGGAAGACCAGGCTATGCTATACCCAGGGGGTAACAGCTTTTGGGGAGGAAGGAAGGTTGATTAAAGCAATCAGTATGCTTAGCAAGGTATCTTTTCTTACGCAGAACAACAGCGAGACTAGATTCTAGCTGTATATATACAACCGTGCAAGCAAGACAGTTGACATTTCAGTGTTATGAACACCTTTTGCTCACGGGAACTGCCACCGACTCAGGCTTCAGATTAAAAGCTGCCGTATTTGAGGGTGACGCAGCAGCGCTTCCCTTTTTTGTTTTTTAAATTTATCTTTTCTGAGGGCAGCAAGAGGCCAAATTCTGCTCTAGACTGTGCCCCGTAGGTCAAAGGAAGACTGGATTCACATCTGTCAGAGAAAAGCAGTTCCTATAGTCACTACTGCTGAAGGAATGAGGAATATGCACAGATACCAGAACGACCTGGAAATGCAGGTATCAATGCCTGAAAGTGTAATTTCCCAACAAATTCTTTCTCTTAGGCAAACTCTTTTTTTGGGCCGTTGTTGGCAAAACTGACAACTGAGAGCTGACGAAAAAAGGAACTTGGGCCTTACTATTCAGATGGTAAGGCCAGTCTTTAAAGGACAATTACTAGCTCCTAGCAAGATAAAACTTTTAATGCAGGAGTTAATTCAACCTGCAGAAAGGAAGGACACATGCATGTACCTTGACAGGGTTGATATATTGCCTGCTGCTTTGCAGACAGAAACGGTGACATGGGAGGCCAGGAATGCACAGACATTTACTCAGGGTTCACTAGAAGTGCAATAAAATCAGAAATACATCGAGATGGTGCAAAACATTTACCTGAATTGGGTTTTCCTCAGAGGCGTGCTTATCACGACGTCTTCCTTCTACTCTCCTAATTGTGCCTGCCTGGCCACCGATCACATCAATTGTCCCGCCCAGCTTCCTGGTACAAAGTAGATGCATCTTTTTAGGCTCAAAGACGTTAGAAGCAGCCGTTTTCCCAACTATCAGACAGACTTCTCTCATACATTCTTTTCCACCAGGGAAAAATCTCTAAAGGCAGGACTCAAACTGGACAAGAGGTGAAGGAGAATTCCTTTTTCACTCAGCACTGTGAGCTCTGCTGGCAGGGGCAAGTCAGGTCTCTCTAAAGACCCAGAAACATGACCCAAAGAATCACGACAGAGTGGAGAATATTTATCAGGAGAAGCCTTTAATGTTATCAGCCCAGATTTTTCGTACTTTCTGTTCAATATTCCAAGTGTTGCTGATACCACTGAAGTTATTTACAAACCAGATTCTCAGACACCTTCTAGCCCACCTCCCCGGGGTCTACTCTGTTTCTATTAAAGGCAGAAGTTTCGCTACTGCCTTCAATGAAATCAAGGCTAGATCCTTGAAAAAACAAAACAAAACACATACACATATAGCCAAGAAACAGTGCTGTCTATGTACCAGGAAAAAATCAGCCACTGAACCTACAATTTTCCACGTTCTTTTATCTCCACCCCCAGGTGACTCTTAGGGGAAGAACATTTTTATAGGAGCTCATTGCAAGGTTATTACAAGTCAAGGTTTGTGAGAGAGAAGCACCCACAACTGAAGTTTAAGAATCCCTCATTCTATATTCACGCAACAATTGATTTGTCTGGCCGCAGACATGATTTCCTGCAGTTAGGACAGAAAAACATCAGCCCTTTTCCAAGTTAGACTGCAGAATTTTCTATCTCAGTAGGAAATTTAGACAAAGTAGATATAAAAATGGTGGCTAGCTGGCAAGATAAATTTTTCTCACTGAAATCTGCTCACTTGGTTTAAGAAAAAACCCCCAAACCCAAACAACTCATTGCTAAGCCCATGTTTTTGATGCTGCTGCAGTATACAAAGATACTCGTCCTGGTCCTGACCAAAAGCTGTGCAGCAGGAACAGAATCTTGTGTGTCAGTACTTTCAAAGCCAGACTGCAAGTTAAAATGGACAAAAATACAAAAATAATTACAACAGCATCAGCTTGTTTTGCAGTGGTGTAAATTTTCAAAAATCTCACAAGATACATGTAACAGCTGTAAACAAACCTGACTGTTTGATGGCACTATGAAGGGGGACATAAAAGCCACCAAAGTGCTTAAATGCTAACAGACCAAGTAGAGCTTTAAGGCTTATACTTGAAGCACATAGCTGATTCTATTCTCAAAGTGGAAAGTGGAAATGCGAGACTGATTTCTGCAAGACAGGTGTGCAAAAGCTGTAATGTGAATAAAGCAACAGAAATACCCAGCTCCCAACGCTCGGGCTCTTCTGGTTTCACATAGCTTTGTTTTTCTGAAGCTTTTGATAAAAACCCATCAACCTCATAAGGTCGAAGCGGTTTTCCCACCAGAGGGTGCCAGTCAAAATGACTCAATTGTTTTGCTTTGTCCAGCCTTGTGGATCCTCTCTCTCACTGGAGAAAATGACTAATTAGCATGCATCATGCAGCGTAGCATACAGGTTCAGAAACCAATAGCTCCTCTTATCAGCTGCCAAACACGTAATCCACTTCCACTTAAGGAGGCAAAGATTAACATCGTGGGAGTAAGAATAAGCCAAGTAAGCACAAGCAGCCAGGAAGGTAAGCCCTCAAAGCTGAGCTATTTTCCTTGGTTTTTCTGCTCCCAGAGACGTGTCCCCTCAGCTGGGATATAGGTTTCCCTCCCTGCACAGCACTGTGCTGAGGGGATCACCAAGAAGAGGTAAGTGGGGAGGTAGAGGCTGCACAACTCTCAGGAGAGTGCTGCTGAAGACGACAGTTAATGAGCGACCGCAGTAGCTTCCTCTAAAGTTTTAAAGTTTTTTTGCTTCTGTTTCAGGCTTGAGGAGATTCAGATACAGCCCAGGCGGAGCACAGCTACCGCTAAGAAGAACACAGTGCACCCAGGCTTTATGTCTGCATCATCCCTTACCTATTAGGAGGAGGCCCAGCCTTCATGCGTCCTCCCACCAGAGCCAAGAAGTCTGTTTTGAATTCTGTTTTGATGATGTTGTTTTCCACTTCTTTTTCAGCATTTCCCGTTCTTCCTTGCTGAACCTATGGAAGGCAGTATATAACGCACAGGTTTAATGCCCTTACTTTCAACTGAATATAGCATCAGAGATCAACCTCCAGCAAAGGACAAGGGCTTTTGCAAACAAGCAAGACGATTTAAGGCAGCGATTTAACCTTTAAAGACACATTTTTGTATTTCTCATCACCGAAAGGAACACAGAACAGTTAGGTGTTAAGGTATCTTCTGCTCCTACACTCTCATCTCTGTGATTACAAAAACAAGTCCCAGTTTTATTGTAGCCATATGCAGAAGTAACATGTCACCCACCGTGATCTTATTTTCAGTGCTGATGGGAGGAGCAGGATCCAGTCCAAGCTGAAGCCGTCGTTGTTTTTCACAATAAGCTTTCCATGTTTCTTCATTGAATCCATAATTAAAGTAATCAGAAAGATCAGCACCTGACAAAGGAAGGAGAAGTTACCATAGTGATTCTAGCAGATTTGCATTCTCAAATTGTCCTTTAACAGCTTAAATGAAGAGTTAAGAAAATTAAAAATCTTCTAGAGAGCACAGCTTAGTTCGCATTTCATTCCATCAGAAAGCTGCCGCACCTTTCAGTGGGAGGGACACTACAGCCTGAACAGCAGCGGGACCATTTGGGACGCAGAATGCAGCACGTATGCAGGCTAATTGAAAGAGATGCTTGCAACCACTTCTTCATCAAATGCATTTTTTCAGACTGGTTTCTTGCAATTGTCCAAATGAGTTGAGCACTGGTGGGAGCACAGGAATGATGGTTCCAGCTACCACCCCAAAAACGGGATGGTGCCTCGAACCTTTTCCTTGGCAGAGCTAAGCCAACATGTTCCGCTCCATACCATCACTGCCTTTGCTGTTTTGAGCAGATATTCTGGGACTCACCCGTCTCATGAAACAGGGCTAAAGTGGAAGTTTTTTATTGATACATCTCAGACTACTACACAAGTAATTACAGTTCAGTCATGATCCTAATTATAGCCTTCCATGATTGTCATCTTACTTTGACAGTCTTCTGTGAAATGTGCCAATTCAGCATGAGCACTTCTGGATACGAGAGGTGGCCACAAACTGCTTGCCAAGAAAAAGCAGATGCAACGGGACAAACAACTAACTCTGTCCGGCATGCCTCACAACAGGAAGCATTACAAAGCATCTCCGAGCCCTGCTGAGGTGCCCCTCAAACAGCCCCCTCGAAAGGTATTCCCAGACAGACCAATTCTAAAAGAGGAGCTGATACAGAAGGGCGAAGCAAAACACTTTGGTCATGCTGACCTTGGATCTATACAGTGAGGTTTAAGTTTATCTTCTAGGTAGGCCGCTCTTCCTGCTGTACCACCCAAATATGCAAACTTCACCTACACAGGCTCAGCAACATGACATTTACATATCTATTTTATCAGCCCATATTTCAGCCCCCTATCAGTTCTTCCATACCATACTTTCTTCTTCTTCTCCCTCACTTAAAGAGAAACCAGCTTGCTGAACAGTTAACTTTAAAGGATGTAAACCTGAAAGGCTGTGGAATAACAAGCTACTTGCCATCTAAAATAAACTGAGAGGCCATACAATTCTGCAGACATCTTCCTTCTTCATACTTCAGCACTGTTTTAAGGTGAGCTGGCTTCATTTTGTCTGGGGAAGTCAGCATGACCACAATGATTTCCATGCTTTATCTCTGAACTGAACTTCATTGTTTTCCTTCTAACTTATTTTCTCCCTAGCCCCCTCTTTCTCCCTACAAAATCAATGGGAAATCCCCCGCAGAAGCAAGGCTACGTTTTTTATTATGTCTGTACTAGCTACTATTCATCACAGATCAGTGTCTTTATTAGCACTGTGATGGACTCTGATGCCCTTCATTTCAGGTGGGCAAGAGATCCCAAAACACACCACAGCCAGCCTTCTAAAAGCACTACTTCTATTTACTAGCAATATTTCTGAAAGGTAAATAACATACAGGGGCTAACAGGGAGAAGAATTCTTTTTGAGAAGAGGCAAGTGGATTTTTTGCTTCAGTTAACATTTCATCATAAAAGGTTTTACGAGAATAGCACAGCAAAAATTTGGATCTCTTTGGTTCCTTCATTTACTTTTGTATCAAATTCAGATGAAAAACAGAAGTTTATTTGTAGCGTCCTACAGCTGTATGCAAGAGTGACTTCTGAGTAGAAATCTCCCTAATACTAATCAGGAAGGTAAAAGAGACCATGTACATATTAAAACCTGCTGTGCCAAGTACTATTTGTCTGGACACAGTCTAGATAGTATTGTCCAGAAGAAGTAAGTGGCAACTGCTCACTCACAGTTATGCACCTAGAGGCAGAATCTAGCAAAGAATTAAGCAATGCAGCTTTTCTATAAGAAAAATCCTCGCCTTTTTGTCAGAGCAGTCAGTGTTTTCCTTCCTTTTATTCAATCATGCGCAGCAGGAGAACTCAACATAAAAAAGACGGCTTTCCTATCGTGACATTGCTCAGGCGGTAATTCCCACCATCGCTGCCTTCCTGCAGAAGTGCGGCCATCCCCAGGACCCAAACGAGAAGGGTGCACGGGGATGACTCTGAGCTTGGCCATGGTGAGACAGAGCGAACGAGCTGCTGCACGTGAAGAGGAGACCACACATCACCAGCAGTCAAATCTTAATCCTACTCAAATGATCTTAAAGCCAACAAACATTATCGTATTGATGTAAGTGCAAATATTTTCTGGAACTAGGGAATGAGTAAAATAGAACATTAAAAAAAAAAAAGTTGCTCCCTTTAGGGAAGTTAAATTAATAGAGTAAATGCAACCCAATTTTAGATAGAAGCATGGCTTGATCAATCAGTAAATGTCACCGCTTGTACAGACAGGCATCAGAGGCTGAGCAATACATATTATTCTGACTCTCTGTTCCCTGGCAGCAATAAATGGACAGAAATCCCATGTGAAATTAAAGAGAGACAAGTAAAAGTGCAGAAAATATTTACCACAAGAAACTGTGAGGCCCCACCTGGTTTCCTCCACGGTTTGTCTTCAAATGAATCTAAATCCACTTCTATAACAGGCAATCCATTTATATTCCCTGCGGCATCTAAGTCAATACCTTTGGGCTGCAACTTGGCTTTGGAGAGAAAGAAACAGTTACTACTTTTAATGCAATGCCTTTAATCCACTAATTTGCTGAGCAAATTACTCCAGTCAAAAATAAAGTGCTACTGTGAATTCATTGCTGGCTTATAGCACGTAGGTAACCACAATCAACTTTTTAAATAAAAATTACTTCAGTCACTCTATAAATAACTAGCCAGGGTATGCAGCCCTTGCAGTTGAACAGCAGAAAAGCAAATTCATCTCAGATTGGTACTACAGACAAATGCAGTAAATTATTAGAGCATGCATGAAATTTACCCCAAATGAAAACAAATTATTTTTCTCCCCAGGCAAAATACTTATTTTCCCCTCCCAAGATACACACATTTTCTCATACTTTTTCAGGATCAGTCTTAAGTGGACCGCACACTAACTGGAGTCAGCAAAAATCTGTCGGGTACCAAATCTTCAAGGGGAATTTGTTCTTATTTTCTCAATCAGAAGACAAGTCGTTTGCATAAAGAAATTGATGGAAGGAAGTCTATGAAGCCCATGAAAGGACAGTCTCACATATGAGGAAGGACAGAATCCAAGTCTCAATATACAGTATAAACTAAACTGAATGGTGGGGAAAGTTTCATCTGCAGAAATATGCATAGCTGATACTCAAGGCCAGAGTTTGTTTCTTTTAGTACCTTACACTGCAAGTAGCTCAGTATACTGACCATATAGTTCAGATTCCTCTCCAGGCAATTTAGAATGTTTGGCCTCAGTGCAAGAATATTGTTTAGAAATATTCTCATTGTTTACTATAAAAGTAATAATAAATATTTTTTTCTACTTTAAATAGAATTATAATTAGCTAGTTAAGTGATGTGTAATTAAATCATTCCATTGCACCCTGGACCCTCAGACTGTCCTAGGAGCGCTTGTCTTTAGGAAACGCATTTACTATTCCTAGTTCAAATAAGATGCACTAATGTATATCCTTCCAAACAGAGACCAAGATTTGCAGCTGCTCCAGCTGTCAGTGCCGGGTAAGTGAAATATTGCAAAAGGTGAAGGATAAAAATAACAGCAATACCTGAAGCAGATGCTCCATAGCCTCTACCCGTTTTTAAGTTTAGATTCATAGGAGTTCCCCTATATGGAAAAGAATCACTACATCGGTATTTGAACACATTACTCGGTTGAAGATTTTTCATGCAAAATACATTCAAGCCCTGAGTGCTTAGTTCACTTGGCTTCATTCATGCCTCTCTACGATTTTTAGTACTAAGTCATAACACCTTAAAAGTGAGATTCATTTGCCACCTAAGTTTCTCCAACCTACAGAAACCCAGCAAACATACTTACTGACCAACAACAGAAGACAAGAGGATTGTCTCGAATGTGAAGGGAAAGGTTATGTCACAGAGTGGTGGTTACCATTCTGCCCAGAACGTACTTAGTACTTAAACAGAACTGAACAAGGTGGAAATCATAGCTGCACACAGATCACAGAATGAGGAGAGAAAGGTAGAAAAAAAGCAGATTTCGAAAAAGATGTCTGCAAAATCAGGTGGGCTGCTAACAGACGGAGCGCTGCTATTCAGAGTAATCCATCAGACTGAAACCACCTCTACAAGAGAAGGGAATTATCCATGAAGTGGAAAAATCAGAATTTGCTGCAAAGCACACATAAGTCATTTCCGTAAGAGGAAGGCTGCTAGCAGCAAGCAAAAATGCTGTCTTATTATTTTTATTCAATGCAAATTAGGTAGAATTTTAAGTCAGTGATGTAATTTCCTGGTTCGCAAATCCAGCCTCATCGTTTCTGAATCATGAAAAACCAGACAGCTGAAAATCAGGAAATTCACAGCTTATGCAAATTCTTATTGATACAGATTTTGGTTCTTGAAGTTTTCAGACATGAGTTAAATGTAACTTTCCACCTTTGATTTTGCCTGACGAAGCACAATAATTATTTGGTTAATTATCCAACAGCAGACCCACGAATTATCATTCCTATTTTACAGATAGATTCTCCAACGAGCAACTGCAGGTTGCCCATCAGCTTCTAATCCCATTCCAGTGTCCTAGCCATCGCTCCCATGTCTCCCAGAAGACAGATCAGCTCTCATCCCCACTTTCAATCCCAATCAATGCGCTAGAGCTACCTCAGATCAAAAATCAGCACCATAATCAGCAATACATACATGTACGATGGTGCTCCCGTTTTAATGTTGCCAATAGTAACTTTCACATCATCATCATCGCTGTCGCTATCACTGTCGTCTTCATCATCTTCACCACTTGGAAGGGCCTAGCAACAATAAAAGCACACAGGAGCTCATTAATACACGAAACTGATAAATTCTCCCAGACAGTAAGCCAAATCTTACAAAGCTTGTATGATGAGGCTTTGGGCAATGTGGTCTAGTGAAGGGTGTCCCTGCCTGCAACGGGGGGGTTGGAACTAGATGATCTTTGAGGTCCCTTCCAACCCAAACCATTCTATGATTCTCTGAAGGACTATTAGCCTTCAACATAAATGGGCAGGTGCCCACAAAGATACTGCTTTGTCCTCTGAAGAAGTGACCCTACATGAGAATCAGGGTAAGATTTCTCAAGGTGGGGAAGGTTTACCTCGGTTCTAAGAATTTCATCATGTCCCACAGCTCCTGTCCTCTACTTTTTCTGAAAGAGCTAGTGCTTTCCTGACACACCTCCTTCCCAAGTCCGTGGTGAAAGTATACAATCATAAATAAAAATCACCAAAATAGGTGATTTTTCATCAGGCTTCACCTAAGAACCTTGGAGCAGATATTCTCTCACCATAACTTCTGTGGCAGGAAGTTGCCGAGAAGCTCAACTTGGCTTATTTAGCGCAATCAGCTCCCGAGTCACTTAACTTTACATAAAAGCTTTACAGCGGCCAATTCAAGTCCAGTGTGGCACCGCTGCTGGGGCACAAAAGCAAAGGAAGTCTTCCAGATATCCAGCAGTGCAATTCTGCAAGGTGCATGAGTGGAATTAACACCTTGCCACTACAAAAGGGTATGAGGAAGGTGTTCCTAACCCTGCCTCCTTTTCCACGGCACACGGGTTTGTCAGAACTCTGCGTGAGCCCTCTTGACACACCACAGTGGCAGAAAATAAACCCATCCAAAAGACTAGAGGAAGAGGGGGTGGAGAAGCAAGCCGCCTCCTACCCTTTCAGCATGGAGCCACTAGATTGCATTCTAAGAGGTCTGCGGCTGAATCAAAACTCATTCCCAGCACTTTGGGCTTTCTATCCCAGTGTTTCCCAGATTTTACTGACCCTCGAGAAGTCATACTAAATATAGTACAGCTGGAGGTAACATCATGTTCCGCTTTTCCTGCCCTCCTCTGCCTCTTCAGATACTCGGATCGGGGGACACTACCCACGCCACAAGGTAGGCTGAGAAGAGAAGCCTGTTGCTGCAGTTAGCAGCGGGAATTGATTACCAGTACACTCCTACACCACAAATGTAACCTATTAGGCAGTACCGACATCTTTACACTAACGTCTTTTTATCCGTGAGTATTGAGAAGCACAAAAATAACTACGTCTACCGTTTGCAGTGGAACACGTACATGCTGCGACATCTCTCGGTCTTCATTGCTGACAGGCCGGTTCTCCTGAGGAGCGTCTTGCAAAGGATGAGAAGATTCTGCGTGTCTAGTAAATGTGACAGATAAAAGAAAGTGGACAAGCCCAATCTAGAGGTTCACCTCTAAACCTGAAGCATTCGCCCAGGTGACTTTCATATAATGGCTTTATTCATGTACTGTGTTTATTCTGCTGGCAGTTAGCTCAACTATACGACAAAAAAATTAATCATCCTTGCTTGGCTTTGCTTTTGTTGGAAAGAATCAGTTTGGTGGTTCCCAAGAGCCCCTGACAGACAGCACGGCTGCCTAGCCAAACGCCACGCAACACCTAATGTGTAAGCCGCAGCTTTCGGCTTTCGTTCAGCACAATCACAACTGAAAGGAGTAAGACCATAACAAGCAAAGCTTCACCTTGTCCTTAAGGATGCCAGTAATTATACATGTATTTAGTAAGCAGTAAGGGCATCTGTTCCATAGAAATTAAGGAAAAAGCAATTTTAGTGTTTCTACAAATAGCTTACATTAACAAGTAGTTAAAATTCAAAGAAGAAAAGACAGATAATTATCCACCCAATCTTCTCATTTATTACAAATCAGTCCTAATGCAACAATAGTCAGGTTCAGATTTACCTCCAATTAAAGAGTTCGCACAAATGTTAACATTGGTTATTGCATTAGCCAAGCAAGAAAGTCAAATTGGTATACACATGCTAGAAGAGAGTATGCTAAGTGTTAGAAAACTAAAACACAAAGAGATATCATTTTTCTCTAATGTCATAGGTAAAACCTTCAAAATTGTTCTGGCTTTTCAAAAGAGACAATTAGAATAACCCAGGCAACCCAATTCTCCACCAGAACCCTGTGGAGACGACGCTACTAATTTAAAACCCTATGTTGGATAAATAAACATACAAGAGATTATTTTCAAAGAGAAACATAGGTAACACCTAACAGAATCCAAACACTGGTCAGATTAAAGCCATTTCAGAGGCGGCAGGAAAGGAAACAAGTACCAAACAAGTAAGCCAAAAGATCCCACAACGCAACTCAGAAAGCAGTTACTGAGCACAAAAGAACAAACAAGAACAATTTGAGCAGTTACCAAAGTTCCCATGTTAGAAAAGCCCCATACACAAAGAAATTCAACAATCAAGCCAAGATCAAAAAGAAGGGAC